GTATAAATTGGCGGTAGTAGTTGGAGAACCCCAGGAGGCGTTGAACATCCTTCCGGTTTTTGGGAGGCTGCCATTGGAGAATGGCTTCCACCTTCTTGGGGTCCATCAGCGTGCCTTCAGGGGAGATAATATGCCCCAGGAACTCAACAGACTTACGATGAAACTCGCATTTTTCTAGTTTCGCATAGAGTCCATGGGTGCGCAGGCGGTGCAACACTTGCCTTACGTGGTCAATGTGTTGAGGCACGGTGGCGGAAAAGATCAGGATGTCATCTAAATAAATTACCACGAAGCGGTCGAGGAGGTCACGGAAGATGTCATTCATAAAGCGTTGGAACACTGCAGGGGCGTTGGTCAAGCCAAAGGGCATGACCAAGTGCTCATATTGGCCATAGCGGGTACCAAAGGCGGTCTTCCATTCATCTCCTGCCTTGATTCTCACCAGGTTGTAGGCGCCACGCAGGTCTAGCTTTGTGTAGATTTGAGCTCCCCGCAAACGGTCCATGAGCTCAGGGATCAACGGGAGGGGGTACCTATCCCGTATGGTGATTTTGTTCAGGGCCCTGTAGTCATTGCAGAGCCTGAGGTCTCCTGTCTTCTTTTTCACAAAGAGGACTGGGGAAGACAGAGGAGACGTAGAGGGCCGAATAAACCCTCTGGCCAGATTTTTGTCCAAATAGTCCCTCAGCGCAGCCAGCTCCGGTTCTGCCATTGGGTAAAGGCGGCCTGAGGGTAACGGAGCGTCGGGGATGAGGTTGATGGCACAGTCGTAGGGCCGATGCGGGGGTAGCTGGTCTGCCTCCTTTTCGTCAAAGACGTCTGCATAGTCCTGATAGGTGGCAGGTAAAGCGGGAGCCGCAGCGCCCAGCAGCAAAGCAGCTGGTGATGGTTCTGGCGATGGTGCTGAAGACGGGGTGTCTACCATCGTTTCCACGGAAGGCGTGGGTGCAGGACTGGTGCCGAACTGGAGCTCCTGATGTACCCAGTCTACCTGAGGGTTGTTGTGGCGCAGCCAGGAGAGACCCAGGATGACTGGAAACCTCGGCATCCTCACCAAGTCGAAAGTTATTTGTTCCTGGTGCTGCTGTATCCACAAGGTGAGTGGCTGGGTTTCTTGGACGACGGGTCCGGAGCGGAGCAGGCGTCCATCAATGGCTTCTACAAGCGCTGGGGTTGCCTTCTCTTGAAGGGGAACGCCGTGTTCTTTGGCAAAAAGAATGTCCATGAAACAACAGGCGGCCCCTGAGTCCAACATGGCGTGGATGAAGAGCCAGCGGTTGTCTGGGAGTTGCAACCGCACTGGCACCAGGAAGGGAGTCTGTGGTGAGTATGGAGTACTGGAGGACCCCAGAATAGGCCCCAAACCGGGGGGTCCGGTCAGGCTTGGGGCTGCTCTTTTACCGGTGGAGCCGGTTGTGGTGAGCGCTTCTGCTTGGCAGGGCAGCTGGAGGCAAAATGCCCGGCTTCTCCACAATACAGACACAGCTGTTGAGTGCGCCGTCTCAGCTTCTCCTCAGAAGTAAGGCGGGGCCGAGCGGTGCCAAGTTGCATGGGCTCTGTGCCTGCAGGAGGTGGAGAGGAGCCGGGGGAGGAAGGCCGGTGGAAGGTCTGAAGGGTTCTGCTGGGGAAGGCGAGAGCCTTTTTTCTGTTTTGGCGGCGGCTCTGTAACCTCCCATCAATGCGGAGACAGAGATGGATGAGGGCTTGTAAAGTGTCAGGGCGTTCACTGCGTGCAAGTTCATCTAGAATTTCGTCAGACAGCCCTTCAGTATACTGGTCAATAAACGCTGCCTCATTCCATGTCAGGTCTTGAGCCAGCAGCTGGAACTCATTGGTGTACTGAGCGACAGAGGTTTTATGCTGAGTAAGAGCCCTTATTTTGCGGTTAGCTGTTTCAGCTTTCACAGGATTGGCATAAGCAGCGGCAAAATGAGCCTTGAAAGCCTGGAAGTCAGATAGTAAGGGAGAATTCCCCACCAGCAAGGGCGTGGCCCATTTGGCAGCTTGCCCTTTAAGGAGGCTTAAAATGAAACAAACTTTAGCCTTCTCAGAAACAAAGTCCCGAGCCCTGAGCTCAATATACAGATTACATTGGGCAAGGAATGCCTGGAACTCATCAACATTCCCACCGAA